ATTCCTGTTCTGATGTTCCCAGGTTTCGGGCAGTTTCCAGCCTTCATCGGGAAGTCATGAAAGTCACTGATTCCATTACTTTAGCAGATTTCTTCACCGTTTTACGAGTAGTGCTCTATGATCCGGAATATGTCGCAATAAATGCTCAACACTCATAACTTAGGCAAGTAGTGGACACAAAACACATGAGCATTCGTGCACATCATAAGCAGCCGCATAAACGGCATGGATAATTGAGGTGACGAGCAGTTACTCAAAACGAGTTAACATTTCGCGAGCGAAAATGTGTCGGACAAGCCTGGCAAGTTTATGTGACCCAGTAATAGCACGATCATTAAGTTATTTAATGCACCCGTATATCGCCAGAAACTTCAAAGGGCTTACAACGCAAATTAATATTATTAAGCAAAATTCATGTTTTGGCTAGAACTGAATCCATCTCAAAGAAACATGACGTAGCAACAACCGAAAAAAAGTAATGCTACCAGTAGCAGCAACATTGTTTTTGCAGTCTCTGTCACGTGATGTCCCTTAAAGATGAACTCAATTGATTCGCAACGTCGGAACTTCGTTTGATGAAATTTATATGCGGGGTAAACCTCTTGAAGCTTTTGGCGATGAAGAACTTTCCACCCGCATAAAGAATTCACGTATTTTCTTTAAAATCCTGTTAATCCTGTGCCCCCGTCATCGAAAAATAGCATATTGTTAAACTAGGCATAAAGTTAGGCCGTTGAGTCTGAAACTGCGTGCAATCAGGGAACAAAAACTCCTTTCCAAAAGTGCTTATCCACGAACTTTGTCAGGTCTGACTCTGATTCCTCAAATATATTTTCAGTTAACTTCAATCTGTCTCTCCAAAGGAATAACGGTTCCATTCATAGGGCCAGCACACTACGGACATAGGGTGACATCATTTATAGGTGACCTAAACGTGGAACATTCAATGGTAGGATGCTCCTAATGTTGTCTCTGCAATAAATTCCGACCAGCGCCAAAGGAGACCCCCTCAGGAGAAAGTTTCGATTCCCCGATCAGCACGCCTTCCGTAAAACTTAGATGCACACGACCTCTCAACACGCTAATGCGACATTCCTTCGAAGGAATGCAAGTATGTTGAGAGGTTGGACAAGCTACGGAACACTTGAATTCATAAAGCCCTCGCCTGCCAACCGTTCCTCATCAAAATCGAGAGATTGCGATTGCGATCATTTAAGTATATGACTGGTATATGAGAAACGAAATTAGCAAGATTCTTGCTTTGTGACAGGCAGTCATGAATCTACAGTTGGACAGCTCGAGTATATTGAACTTCTGGCATTATAACGACTAGAATTCGCCACTAGAGGTTGCTGATTGGCGAAGGATCATGATCAGTAGAAAACTTTCTCAAGCTACTCTTATTGCCATCCGAAACCCGAAAGAAATAGCAGACTGCGGAAACAGATGGCAAACGATGGATGGGCGTTTAAAAGGAAACCACACACAATGCCACACCTATCGAACAGCAATAATTAATACGCAGATCACTCTGTTGACAGCCGCGCTATTTACAATGTTGATGGGCAGTCTCGAAACATCTTCTGTCCTAAAACGCTATGAAGCGCTGTTGACAGCAGCCGAAGGGTCACGAACCAGCTGGCGGTGACAATCAGATGAACTCAGAGACCAACCTCTGACTTGGTCAGATGAAATGACCCAAGACGAAAATGAAAATGTTATAAAAACTTATATTGCACTTTAAACGACTACAGCCGAAGGACAGTGGATTGTAATACGATGGAAACAACTCGTTGAGGTAGTCCTGCTTACGTAGAGGAATATGACGTTTGTCGCAGAAATAAACTTCGCCTAACATGAATGTGAAATGCGATTTTAAGAGTCAGGCATGATAAAACTGTGTTACTCTGCCGTTTAAACTCTGTTAGCCTTAGGTAACGATGGCAAAGCAACAATATCAATTTCGTTTAAAACAAATACCTCTGTAAAATGAATAATTCACAGCCTGATTTCCTCGGTTCTGCACTTAGCTTCTGCTGGATGAAATTAAATTGCTTGTGTTGTATTGTTTACTGTTTGACGGGAATCTCACAAATGCTCCGATTTGCAGCAGGAAAACATAAGCGGTAAAAGACAATGACACTGACTAGAGAAAAAGTTAATAATAACTGTCATCGGGTACCACGTGATGATCGCGATGTCGATCATAGGGTGAAAGAATCACTGTGGCTAAAACAAACTAAGGTACGGCCGTTTGCAATCGCCTGAATCTTTAAAAATCTACCCGAAAGCTGCATTGACAGCTGTATGGTAGAGTTCAGTTGTCGAAAATAGTTAAATCAATAATACACTGGGATGTGATAGAGAAGAGTCGCTTTAAGCGGAATGACAGATTTAAGTTTATCCCTTGCTACTCCTCCGGATACAGAATAATCGAACCCTTCCTTTGCTTCTGGTATCCCAGAGGACCGTGCAATAAGTAACAATTCCATGGTATCTTGGCACCTACAGTGCAATGGAGTAAATCAGCACCACTTACAGACTCTAATAAACAGTTATTGATATGTGCATGTTCGACTCAACAACCTTTGCACCCATTCGCTGACGGTGCTAAAATACCATGGAGCCTTGGCCTGCTTAAACGGTTCCCTGAGCCACTTGAAGCTAGGAGACAATGCGATTACTCTGTACGAATTCGGAGAAATGACACGTGATTGTAATTCTTACTGTCAGTATTGAAAACTTGCAGTATGCTAGAAACATACTTGGAATTGGTTTTATTAGATTTGCATGTTCAAGGTGAGCTTTGTCACCGGAGATATCTTTATCCATGTGACTTAGAATTGAATCCCCGAACCAATGACTCTTGGAAGCAGCCATGAAGAATGTTTCAGAACTTCTGAATTCCATTTATGCATGACGAAGAAAACGTCGATACAGGGGGAACGGTCAAACGCGTGCAAAAGACCCTTATGTTACTGAAGATATGTAGACCTCTCAGTTGCCAAACAAACATGAGGCTCTAAGACATCTTTCGAGCAGAAAATTAACATGCTCGTACATCATAATACCTGACGAAAAGTTAACTAGCGTGAAATATGAGTGTGACATTCTTAGGTATGCTGATTAATAAACTACGCCTGTGAAGCTGTTGAGCAGCTACGTCCATATGCCTTTTGTGTTTTTTTAACGAAAGATATTCGATTCTGCATGGCGCGCTAATTACCAAGGTATTAGAGAAACATATAGACTAGTAATAATGATATCTCTGCCGTTGTCGCTCTCAAGCCCGGGAGAGAAAGGAGGAGAAAGACACCAGCGGGCAGGAGAACGGGAACTGTTGTATCCCTGTTCAAGAAGGAAGACCACAGGAAGTGCTCCAATTACCCTTATTGAACCTCCAAGGTAAAATCTGCGCAAAAGTGCTGGAAAGGAGATGCCGCGGAATAACTGACTCCAAGATACAAACAGAGCAGTGCGCCACATTGTTTAGAAACCGTGGGAGTATGCCCATCTGGTTGAACATGTGTTTTGTGGACCTAGAGAAAGCGTATGACCGGATCCCACGAAACAGTCTGTGGACATGCCTTCG